TAATTTAAGTTAATTTGGGGTTTCTTCTGGCTCTAGGATTGTATTTAAATTCTGGGGGAACTAGATGTCCCATGGTCTTATCTGCTCTTTAATGCAATTTGATTATAAGAGCGTTGGGTGAGACACCTGCCCCCCAGTTTGACCCTCCCTCATTGGCCCAAGCATGTCACCATAGAGACTTCCTTGTTCCTGTTTGTATGGTTCCTACATAGCCTACTCTCATTCAAGATGTTTTCCAAGAAATATTTCATCTAAGCTGAAAGTTCTTTCCAGGCCCCTAACATCCTAGGCTTTTAAAGCATTAGAGCCAGGAAAATATTATTTTTTTCCTTTGCTTCCTTCTTTACATCATTCCCTGAACCAATAAGCATGAAATAGCTTTGCTGTGAAAAATAGAAGAAGGGCCAAAAAAGAGAGAACATAGGTTAGTATTTGAAATATATTACCTTGTTACAAAATCTGCTGCCCCCAATGAACTGCCATGTCATTTGTGTAGATTTATGTGTGTTTTGACTCTTTTTCCACCCTATACAGATGTTAATGATACTATCATTTTCCTTTAGAAGCTATGCCTCATATTTGTCCTTTTCTAGTCAGGTTCACCCATTTCTCCCAAAGAAGTGAGGAGATGGGAGAGGTGTGAGATCCAGAGCTGGAGAAGAAGGAAGGAGGATAACAGAGCACATGTCAGAACTTTTTGGGTCATGGTTTTGAAAATATGGCTTCTACTGATGGCCCATTCTACATGAGTTTGTAGCAAGGTGAGATAAATTAATGGCAATTCATTCAATTATTGACATAATACTGGTGGCAAGTTCATTTTACTGTGTAATATAAGGTGAGGGTTAAGGACATCAGCTTTGGAGTGAGAGACTATGTTCGATACCTGGCTCTGGTACTTCCTGCATTGCTGACCTTGAGCAAGCTACTCAACCTCTCCAATTTTCAAATGGGGATAAGAGGAGTATATGGTAGGATTGTTTAAATGTTTGAATGAGATACTGGAATGCATGCTAAGAGCTTAGTATAATAAATGCCTGGCCTTTGGCAAGCACAGAATAAATGTTTACTTATAATAATAATCATACAAATAGGGTTAGTTTTCTGAAAATTTCCTCCATTTGGTTATCTTCAAGGAGGTCCTTTGTTTGGTCCTTGTTTACGAAGATGGAAAAAACCCATGAGGGACAAAGATCTTTATTAAACTATTCATAAGGCCTGAAAGCAGGCAAAGCCTCTGATATTGATGTGCCATCATTCCATAGAAATTATGGTTCTAACATTCCCTATTTTGAGCATGTTGATTTAGCAAACCTAAGATCCTGGTTTTAATATACAAGACTTGAAGCGTGGCCATTTGTAAAATATTCCCAAATGCTTGTGGTGAGAAGACTAGGTTAGGCTGTACCTGTTAAATCACAACTGGAATCGTACCCCAAAAGCAGGACATATGTTTAGAGTTGGCAAAGGGAAGGATATTTTCATCCTAAACATGCAGCTCATTTACATTAATTGAGGCTGGGTATTCACAGGTTGCAAAGCTCTAGACAGGATTTCACAAGCCCGTGAGCAGGGACCAATAAAATTCACAGTGCTCTAAACTGAGTCTAATCCTTGGAGAGTCCATTAGTATGGGGGAGACTTGGTCTGCTGTCACTAGTGTGATTTCTGGGCCTCTGCTCCAATTTTCTGGGCTCCTTTTATCCAGGAATCTAAGCTCAGGGATTACAAACATCTATCAAGTTCTAAGTTCCAACTCAGATTGATTGCTATCATGTCGCCCAGTTAACCCTCTTGGGATATCTTCGTGGAGCCCCTCTTCCCATCTACAGACTCTCATTCACCTCTTATGTGTTCCCTTATTCTTTCTTCCACCTTGGCTTTTTTCTTTCTAGTCTGCTCTTCAACAAAACAAACATCACAGAAATTAACCAATATCATCTGGCATGACAGAAGTTTTATCTTTGTGTAGTAGTCTAATAATTTACCTCTTTCCAAACTTACTTCTTGATATTAAAGTTTCCTCTGACTTCTGTGGTTTCCTCCCTGACCTCTCCAAAAGAGTTTGGAATTTTAGTCCTGCCTATACAAGATGAACATATCTGTTTCTATATGTTGCACAAGGATAGCATAAGCGGTAAATGAAACAGGCAATTTTGTTTCCAGGCAAATATATGGACAAATTTGAATTAATATTGATTGTATAGATAATAACAATGATAATAATACCTTGTGGGGTTTAAAATATATTTAGAATTAAAATGAAGAACTATGAGAACCTAAGTAAGAATGGGGGATAAATGGAGTTCAAGTGTTCTAAGGTCTCTGTATTATCCAGAAAGGGGCCAAAGCCATTAAGTAACATTATGCTTTCATAAGTCAAGGATCCATGTTGTAATTTCCAGTTAACATTAAAAGGATGGTTAATGTGCGTACAACTTCTATGTTAATAGAGAAAAGATGAAATAATTAAAAAATCGACCCAAAACAAAATTAGAAGAAACAAAAGGAGCAAAGAACAGGTGGACCAAATAGAAAGCACATGGTAGATGGTAGTTTTATCTAGTTGGTGATCTATCTACTACTATTATGGGCTGAATTGTTTCTCTGCAAAATTTATGCATTGAAATTCCAACCCCCAATACTTAAGAGTGTGACTATATTTGGAGAGAGGGCCTTTAATGAGGTAATTAAGGCTAAGTGAGGTCATGCAAGTGGGCCCTAATCCAATATGACTGGTCTCCTTATAGGAAGAGGAGATTCGGACACAGACATGCATAGAGAAAAAACCACGTGAAGATGGGAGGAGAAGATGACTATCAACAAGCCAAGGAGAGAGGCCTCAGAAGAAATCAACACTTCAGACACCTTGATTTTGGACTGCTGGCCTCCAGAACTGTGAGAAAATACATTTCTGTTGTTTAAACCATTCAATCTCCGGTACTTTGTTATGGCAGCCCTAGCAAACTAATATAGCCACCTAGATACACCAATATTTAGTTAAATGTAAATAGACAATACACTTCAATTAAAAAATACAAACTGTTAAATTAGAATTAAAGAAGACCCATCTATAAACCAGTTACAAGAGATGCATGACCTTATTTAATCTTAATTAGCTTTTTATATCCAAAACACAGGAATATGGAAAGATTAAAGTTAAACTGATGAAAAAAAGATATACCATGCAAACTCTTACCAAAAGAAATTTGGTGTGTCTATATAAAGATTAAAAGATGGTGAGTTTATGGTAGCGATAAAGAGGACATTTCATAATGATAGAAGGTTCAAGTCACCAAGAATCTATAAGAATTCTAAATTTGTATACATCCAATAATACAGCATCAAAATCTATAAAGAAAAAATGGACAGAACCACAGTCATATTGGAAGACTTTATCACATCTGTCTCAGTAGCTGATAAAATGTTTAAAAAGCAGCAGCAATATACAAAATTTGAACAATGCAATCAACAAATTTGACCTGGGAATGTGTAGAGAACATGGTAGTCAACAACCAAAGGATATGAATTTCTTTCAAGCAAACAATAAAAATTGACTATATGCTGAAACATAAAGGAAGTCTTAACAAATTTCAAGAATGCAAATAATAGCGTTTGATTTCTAAACAAAATTAAATTAAATTAAATTAAAAATCAATAACATGGATGGTGCTGGAATAATTAGAGTTCCATATACGAAAAGTGAACCTCAAACTGTGCATCATGTCATACACAAAAATTGATTCAAAATAGATCTTAGACCTAAAGGAAAAGCTAAAACTTTAAAAATTCTAGAAGAATCCACAGGAGAAAATCTTCATGGCCTTGGGGTAAGCGAAGATTCTTCAGACACAAAAAAGAACTAATCATAAAAAATTAATATATTGGAATTCATCAAAATTTAAAACTTTTAATTCAAAAGATACTGTTAAGAAAATAAAGGGGCAAGCCACAGACTGAGAGAAAATATTTGCAATACATGTATATGACAAATGATTTGAGTCCAGAATATGTAAGGAAATCTTATAGCTCAATGGTAAGAACAATAACTCAATGAAAAATGGGCAAAAGATTTGAATAGATACCTTATAAAAGAAGATATTTTAATGGCCAAAAGGCCCATGAAATGATGTTGAGCATCATTAGTCACAAGATACATACAAATTGAAACCACTAGGGTGGCTAAAATTAAAAAGCTAACAATAACAAATGTTGGTGAGGTTGTGGAGAAACTGGAGACTTATAGATTTGAAGGATGAATAAATAGCATGTAAAAGTGTATAAAAGGCAAGTAAATCGTTACCATAAAAGTCATGATGGTGATATCCCCTTTTGTGGAGGGATAGGGCTATGATTAGGGAGAAGCACACAAAGGCTGCCAGAGTCTTGGAAAGTTCTATTTCTTGACCTGAGTGGTGGTTGTACGAGCGTATGCTTTATTGTGGCTGTGAATTCTTTTACACTTTTCACTTTGTGTTTTATATGTTACAATAAAAAAGTTAAAATTACACGAGTAAAGAGACACTCTAAGTTATTTAGAAATAAAAATGTAAGATGCATGTAAGGCAATGCTATTAGTTCTAGCCTTGGTACTCTTACATCCATTCACTTGTTCATCCACCCAGTCATCTACCATTCATTCATCTATCCTTGTATCCATCTACCACCCATCCACCCATCCATCCATCTACTAGTCTTATTCATCCATCCATTTACCGTCCATCCATCGATCCATACACCATCCATCCATTCATTTATCCACTCATCCATCCTTCCATCCATCCGTCCACCACTAAACCATCCACCTATCAATTCACCAACAATTCATACACTGCCCTCAATTCACCATCTACTAGCCACACTCCATCCATTTATCTACCCATTCATCCATCTACTACTCATCCATCCTTTCATCCACCCATACATCCATCACCCATTCACTCATCCATCCATCTATCCATCCCTCCATCCCTCCCTCCACCATCCATCTACCACGCATCCATCCACCCACAGCTGAAGCAGTCTAGTTCTCCTTAGGGAACTATAGGAACGGACAGCTTGAATGATAGAGAATGACTGGGCCCTGGGCTGAATGATTAAGCCATTTCTGAACCATCCAGTCTTTCTCTCTCAGAGCCAATGTTTTCCTAATTAAGAACTGGACATGGGTTTAGTTTTCTATTGATGTGAAGCCTTATACAGTTCTAAGAGCTGTATACAGCTCTGGGCTAGGGTACAGAGACATTCTCTGTCCTCTTTCTTTTTAATTTGCACTAATTAAGGAGGATCTATTATGTGCCTGTTCTGACAGAGCTATAATCTCAGTGAGAGGCATATAGAGCTTAAAGCAAGCAAAGGTATGCAGGCTTTCCATTCTGGACTAGGGTTTATATATGGCTCAACCATCTGGAATCTTAGAAACACCCCTCCTCAACTATTTACATCACTCTAAATTTTGCTCAACTTTAACAATAACAGTTGCAATTTCAAAACAACCTTATTTTCCATTAAATTTACACTACAATTCCACTAGAGAGTAAGCTTCATGTGAGCAGTGATTTTAAAAAAGAAAAAATTCTTAATATTATATTTCTAGTTCCAAGAATAGTATAGGGCTCATGGTAGAGGCTTAATAAATAGCTGTTGACTGAATGGAATGAATTAACTCAACTGTCCAAACATGGAGAATAGTCAGAATTCCTGGTTGTGAGAAATGGAAATTGCCTCTGGCTAATGTAAGCAGGCAAGGAAATTATTGTAAAGGTATCAGAGAGTTCTCAGAATCATCCATCCACTGGGGATGATTCTGGATTGGGGGAGGAGGGAGAACCTGGATGGGAAATGACAGGAATCAAGGGAGACTGAGTGTGGGGAAGAGGGCAAGGGTCATGCCCCAGGAATGGCCTGGTTATGACACTGCTTCTGGCATCACCATCATTTTACATTCCCAGCTACCATTGCTGGACCTTCAGTGCCACCTCTGTGACAGTGAATAGTGTTGCCTCTTCCTGTACCTTTGCATCTCTCTCAGAAGGCTTAAAGCATTGTGTGGCTGAATTTAGAGGCTGTTCCCATGTCTTGGCTTCCAGGAAGTGAGGAGAGCAAATATTTGGCTCAGCTCCTAACAATGAGCACACGGCCTTTAGAGAGAAGAAGGCTAGATGCAGGGTAGCGAAGAACCCCCTGCAAATGTCCACCGTAATTATGCTACCATCTTAAGATTTGTCTATCCTTAAATTTATGGTTGTAAGGAACATGCAGCAACATGGAAAATGCTTATGATATAATGTTAAGTAAAAAAAAGTTACAAAATTTCATAGACACCTTGGTAACAACTTTATATGAAGCAGATACATAAGAAAAATTATGGCAAAAAATGTGCCAAATTCCTAACACTGACAGCACTAGGATGGGAGGATGTTGGGTGATAGATACTTTCATTCCCCTATCTTTTTACAAAGATAAGGAAAATTCAAAGACATCAATTCTGTTCAATGGCAGGGCTCACTTCCTCCATTTCAGAAATGCCTGTGTGTGAGGCAAGGTGGGAGGGAAGACTGAGTGTGTTGACCTTTGGCAGACTGGAAGGACTTAAATTCACCCCTTGCTTTTTTAATCTTTGAGTTCACAATCAAATACAGGTTTCCCCTGCTATCCGAAAGCAGAGTGTTCCTAGGAAACCTTTCGTAAGCTGAAATGGCATAAAGCGAAGAAGAAATTGCCACCAATTTATATAGAAAAAGTTTTTGAGTGTTCCAAGACTCCCAAAATATCCTACCAAAATAAATCAAGATAAGGCACAGATGCTCATGGCCACAGTTCAAAGCTGTGGCGGCTTGATGCTGAGATGCTGGGAGTAGTTCCCCGGGAAGGTGCTTGGTGGCGCCACTCTCTCTGGTGGGGGTGCGTGCTGCCTCTATGACTGCTCGCTGGGAAACAAATGCTGAATGCTATTTTCACTTTTCACATTTTTTGTAAAAGCGAAAATCCCCTTGGGATTTTTTTCGGTTAGTGAAAACAGGTGCTAACGTAGGTCTTTAGTAAAAGCGAAGTGGCATAAAGTGAATTAAAGTGAACTTTCGGATAGTGGGGGGAACCTGTAAAGCAGGAGTAAACAGTAGCACCCTTTCCGGCCTCAAGTCTGACAGGTGATGTACCAAAGCTCTCATTCCCAAATTCCTCTCTCACTGACCCGCCGACCTGCCGTGAGCTAGAGATCTCAGGGCTGTGGCTGGGAATGGAGGTCTAGTCCTGAGCAGGAAAATGGGAAGATAAATGAATCATAAGGGAGCATAGGAGCAATGAATGGATGAGATTCTCTCATTAGTTAACTTCTTGCTGAGAACCAAGAAGGAAATCAACAAGACAGTATACCCTGATAATTCTGGCTGCCATCGACTCAGACACATCCTGTCCTCATCAGCTCTAGGAAAGAACATGGGTTTCGGAGTTAGATAAACTTGGAAGGAAAACAATTTGACCTTGGGCAAGTTACTTATCTTCATTGACCTTGAGTTTCCTGATTGGAATGGAGGGGTAGTAACATCTATCAGTATTATTTAGACTTCTTTTATTACAAATATCAGAAATTCACTCAAGTCAACTTTAGCAAAACACCAGGGAATTTATTTTAAGGCTGCTGGGGTGTCTCACGTAACTTAAGAAGAAAAGGAACTGGGAGCGGGAAAGCCATCAGAAACCCAGGAACAATGCTTTCTCCTTTTTTTTCTCCTTTCTTCTTGCCAAATTCTTCATTCTTCTCCCACCCCACCCTCCAGGCTGGCTTCTCAGTTACTTATGGGGCGGGGGGAGGGGAGGGTAGGAAGGATATCTATAAACTTGGCTGTTAAAGTCATTATTTTAAAACACTTGTTTGGGGACTTTCCATATTGGTGACACAGGTCTTCTTCAAATTGTTTCTCATATTGACTGAAGTGCCACAGATCACACAGCTTCTGCACCATGTGTTACCTGCTACAACAAGCCTGCCTGGAGTGCACAAAAAAAGCCACACCATGGTCTTCATTGCATCCGGGGAGCTGTTGGCCCAGGAAGTGATTTGTCTTCCTCTTCTGCTGCTGTTTTGTGCAGCCACAAGCTTGTTTTGTTGGCTTATAAAATTTCAACAGCTGGCGGAGAGTGTGTGTGTGTGGAGTGGTGTGGATGAGAAAGCTATTGTTTTTTTTTTTCACCTTGTACAGCAGAGGGGGGAAATTGTTCATGACAAGTACTAATGTTTTGTGAATTTATCTACCCCTTTGTTTGTGTGCGTGATTACAAAGAGATTTACTAGAGAGAGGAAAGGAGAGAGAAAGAGACCAAAGCCAGAAATACATAACAGGTTACGATTTTAATCTAACCTCCACTGATAAATTCTTTCCTATGAGTTAGGACGGGACTCAATGGAATGCAAAAATACCACTTTTAATAACTGTAAAGAGGAAGGTTGTTACACCATTTCAGCATTGACGTGTACGACTTCAGTCAATAGACAGGCTGGCCTTGTCCAAGTTCCTAGAAGAGATACTCTGATTGGACCAGCTTGGGCAAGCTTCCCCTTTCTGGACCAATCATCTGTGACCAGGGGGTGGGATCTCATTGTACAGAATGGCTTCCAGGGGTCCGTGACTCTGGAAACGGGGCAAGATGACCAGGTCATAGGATGTTGGACCTTCTCCCTGAAAAGTATTCACCACACGTCCTCAGGAGATGACGTGAAGATTAGATTTATGTTAAAACCCCAGCACCATGTTTGAGACGGAAACAAAACAGTAAGCATTTGTTTCCTTTCCTGAAGCATAACCCTTTTTCCTGAGAGCTTGTAATGAGTTCCCCATTCCGGTTACTCTTGGCTCTGCTATGTCTGTGCGGGGATAGGGTGAAATGCTAAGTGTTTCTAAGAACCTGGAGAAACGGAAGGAAGCAATTAGCTGTCACGAGTATCTTTCAATTTTCATTGTATGGCATGAAATACTCAGTCTTGATAATACTCCAGGTCTACATAGAGCTAAAGCTCGACCTCCTAGGCTATTTCATTAATCCTCACAGCAGTCCTTTAGAAGGACAGACGTTATTATCCTCATTTTGCAAATGTGTTAATTGGCGATCAGGGAGGTTAAATGACTTGTTCGAGGTGACGTGAGTTATGGGTGCAATTTAACTTGTCATCTAATTCCTAACTTAATGTCATGTTCATTAGACAAGGCAGGGTCTTTTTAGGAGGCTCACACTTTCATGAATAGCTGAAGCTGTTTATTTCAGCAGAACTGGGTGTCTGGTCAAGGCTTGAAAAGTTTCATTCATTCCATAACGACTGTCAGGCCAAGGCCAGGTATGGGCTGTGCCCTCAGGTAACTTCCATAGCAGCAGCACAGCTACAACACTGTTGAACGAATAATTATTGTTTGAATACTTTCATCCTAAGTCCTATGTAGAAAATGTACAGAGTATTTTGAAATAGGCCAGAGAGAAAGTTCCTACCCATTGACCAAGAATTTTTCTTTAAGATGCTTCCAGTTTTTTTGCCATTACAAACAATTCTGAAGTGGACTTTTTCTTTTTTCTGCACACATCTTTGTAGTACTGGCACTGGCATTTTCTGAGGATAGATTCTTAGAATGGAATTTCTGATTCCAGTTATATAGGTATTAATTAACTAACTAATTTATGGGTTTACAATCATATGAGGGTGTCTTCGATCTTGCCTTCTCGCCAACAGTGGGTATGATCAATATTTGTTAAATATTTGCTGTAATAATTTTTATACCTTTAGTGTTTAAATGAGGTTTAGCATATTTTCATAATTGTCATGATTTTTTCCTTTTTCTTTTCCTGTAGTCTGTTCTACCCTTCACCTGGTTTTGTTTGTTTGTTGAGATATTTTCCATTTCTTATTGATTTGCAGTAACTACATCCTGGATATTATTTCATTGTATATTATAGTTGCTGAAAGTATTTTCTTTCAGGCTGTTATTGGTTTGTTCTTACCTTTGTCTATGGTGCCTTTTGCAGTGCTGAGTTTTCATTTTTGTGGTGTCAGATCTGTCAGATTGTTTCATTTACACCTTCTCAGTTTTACGTCTTATTCAGGAAGGCTTTCTTAGCCTTAAAACTATAAAAATATTTTTTCATTTTTTCTACTGCTTTTGTAGTTTATCTTTAGGTATTTAATCCAGCTGGAATTCATTTTTGTATATGGCATAAGGGAGGGAGGGATCTAACTCCTTCTTCAAAATAGAAAGCATCAACACAATTACTAGATATGATTTCTTTCTCCCTCCACTTTGAAAACGCTACATCATATGCTATATGCCCACACATTCATCCTTCCGTTTATGGGCTGAAAATAATTAATTCTAATATATAACTGTCACCAAATCAGTGTTACTTATGCAGATATGTAGTCTCCCAATATCAAAACCAAACTAATTTTCTTGCAAGAAACAGTCTCCTCCCAACTCTGATTATTCTTTTGCCACTCATACCTTCGGCATTTATGGCTGACTTTCTATCTTCTATTGTATGTTACTTTTTGTTACTCCTGAAACATTTTACCATGTGAAGAGACTTGATTTCCCCAATAAACCATGGCAAGGCTGGTAGCTTTCTCTCTGGCATATTCCCCAACACCATTAGGTTTTATATGGAACTCTGAACTTAGCCAATTTCAACACACTTTGCCTTTTGTTATTCTTTAGGCCTTGTTCTTGTTTGCTTCCGGGAGAAATCACAATATCCTGGACTCTTAGGAGTAGGAAGGAGCTGTAGGTCTTTGGAATCACGTAGAGGTGCCTGGGTCCCACCCCTAAAGTTTCTGATTTATTGCTTTAAGGTTTAGCCCTAGAATTTGCACTTTTTAAAAACTTTGCTTTTCCTGCAGTCTAGTCTCTCATTGGTAAATAAGATGACAATTGGGCAACCAGAGAAAAAAACATCTGGTGCAGCAAATGATTCTCTAGGGCCAATATTTCTAGTTTCGCAACAAGAGATGCTACAAATGAACTCCTGAGTCCTATTATTCCAAAGGCCACTTTGACATTTACTTTAATGAAACAAGCTGGAGGTATCTTCCTAATGAAACTACCAACAAAGCCAAAAAAAGAAAGAAAAGAAAATCCCAAAACACCAGATTTTACCCGTCTCTGTTGAGTGTCTCACATCCTTTCAGAATAAATGGGGATTACACATTACCCCCCCACACTTCTCTCTTTTCTAATGACATTATCAGAGGAAGGATTCCAGTGCCAACATCAGTCAGTTGCCGTGGAAGCTGACCCAGAATGAACCATTGCTTCTTTTTCCACCATCTCTTCTGGAAATTATCAACAGATAGATGCCAGAGACCAAAATTTGAGAAAATGCCAGGAGTTTGTTTATTCTGATCTGGTTTCTTAGAGATGCAAATGCACGAAAGGAATTATGAGCATGAAGGATGGAGTCAGAATATTTTAACTTGTCACCTTGACATCAAGGCTAATTGAGCCTTGCTAAAAAAAGACAAATGGGTGCTCTGTTTGTCAAGAGAAGAGGAGAAGCGACTTCTAGAACTTTTACTTCTGATAACTCAAGTCCAGACTCAATCAATTCATTCATGTGTAAAGGATTCCATTTATTAGTGCCAATGTATATGCATATAGGCATCCTTCTCTCAGTACAAACAGACACACAAATGCACACACATTAGTGTGTGGCTTTTGTCTTCATGGTTGCAAGACAGCTGCTGTGCCATCTTGTACTGCATTCCTAGTTTAGGTAGGAAGAAGGTGGAAGGGCAAAAGTGTAAAAAGTCAAGCCAGTTGAGTCTGTCCTTAGAAAGAGCACTCCTGGAATCCTTGCCCAGCAATTTCCCCTTACATGTCTATGGTCAACTCCAGCAGCAGGATAGCTGGGGTTAATGAGCATTACAATAGGGCTTATTCCTACCTCGAAAAAAACTAAGACTCTAAGTTGCTAAGTGAAAGGGGAGAATGAATACTGATAGTTAAGTAGGGGTGTCTATCTTGGTGTGCCTCCAAAATATTTCCCAAACCTATCCACTAAGAAGCAGGACCAGTGCCAGATATATATTAAGAGATTTATGGTGAGGAATTGACTTACACAACTGTGGCCCTGGCTAGGCAAGTCCAAAATCCGTAGGGCAGCCAATCAGGAAGGGCAGGCTGGCACTCTGGGCATGGACTGAAGCTGCTGTCCGCAGACAGAATTTCTTTTTTCTTCATGGAAGCTTCAGCTCTGCTTTTGAGCCCTTTCAACCGATTGAATCAGGCACACCCAGGTTATCCAGGATAATCGCCCTCTCTTTAAGTAAACTGATATGGACTTTAATCTCATCTACAAAGTACTTTCACAGCAACACCCAGATTAGTGTTTGATTGAGGAACTAGAGACTGTAGCCTAGCTAAATTGACACATCAAAAAGACCATCACAGTGTTCTGGATGGGAGGTCCAAAAAAGTGGCATTTGAAGAAAACCTGAAGAAAGGGAGAAGCCAAGCAGAAGGACCAACAATTACACAGGCCCTAATACTAGAAATATCTCGACATGCTTCAAGTATTGCATGGGGGCCACAGGCCTGGACTGTTATGAGCTAGGAGGAAGAAAGGGCAAAATTAAATGGGGATACCAAATAATGTGAGTCTTTTAGGTCATAGAAAAATGTGTGGATTTTATTCCAACTAAAATAGGAAATCATTAAAAGCTTTAACCAGCAGAGCAACATAAATTTACATAATTTTAAAAGATAACCAGTTGCTGTGCAGGGAAGTCACTTGGAAGGGTATCCAGGGCTCATTGAAAGCCAACCCATGAAACCATTCTTTTGTCCCAGAAAGTGATCTCAGGTTTTCCCCTTTGGCTATTTTATAGAAGAGTGCCTGTTTTGAGTTGAATTGTGCCCCCAACCCCAACCCACCTTCTCCTGTTGAAGTCCTAACTCCCAGTATCTCAGAACACGACCTTATTTGGATATACAGTTGTTGCAGATGTAGTTGGTTAAGATGAGGTCCAACTCGAGTAGGGTGGGCCCTAATCCAGTATGACCGGTGTTCTTATAGAAAGGGGGAATTTGGTCACAGACACACACAGGGAGAACATCATGTAAAGATGAAGGTAGAGATCAGGATGATGCAGCAGAAGCAAAGGATCAACAAAAATTGCCAGCAAACCACCCGAAGCTACGAGAAAACGTGGAATGAGTTTCCTCTTGCAGCCCTCAGAAGGAACCAACCCTGCTGACACCTTGATCTCAGATTTCTGGTCTCCAGAACTGCGAGAGAATAAATTTCTCTTGTTTGAAGCCACCTGGCGTTTGGTATTTTGTTGTGGCAGCCCTAGGAAACTAATCCAGTACCCAATCTGATTTCTTAGGAAATAGTTGATTTTCTGGGTAGGGTGGATTGAACCAGAGGAATCACCTTTGAGGCTAGGTCTCTTGGAGACAACAAGTGATAAACGTTGATTTACAATTTGATGCAATTAAAAGCAAACTTCCATTCAACACTTCCTCTGTGAAGTGCTGTGCTGGGTCCTCAAAGGGGCCATAAAGGTAAGACACAGTTCACCTGCAAAAGGAACAGTTAGTCTAGGAAGGGATAGGAAAAGCTAAGAAAAGCAGACGCATCTCCTCAAAATAGTACTGTAATGTAGGTCTAAATGCTAGTGGATTTCGGCAAAAAGCAGATCAAATTATGTTGGGAAGATTAGGAAAATATTTTCTTATTTTAAAGAAGTGATGGTGTTTGATCCAGGCCTCAAAACATTGGTAAGACTTGACAGGTAGAAATTGTTGGGAGAAGCGGGAGGAAATTAGTGGGAGGAAATTTCAAAGTTGTTGCATTTTGTGTAAACTTGAATTATAGGAATTTAAAAATATGATGTATAGAAATATTAATAAAGTCTCATTGCACAAAATTTGGAATTATTCTTATTCCCCAAATTAAAAACACAATTCTTTATATAATTTCCAAGCTAGTGGGCTGAGTGGATAATAAACTGTGTTTAAATTATTAGTGAATGTTGATGCTTCTTTTTCTGGTTAAACAAAATCCCGCTATTCCATGTCATTATTGTTATTATTCCAAAGGCCAATCTGTTGTTTATGGGTACTGGAAATTCTGTGAATGATTGCGGTAATTATTATGCTGTTATTTTAACATTTACAATTATTAATAATTTAAAATCTTTAGATGTTACATAATAACATCATCTGAAGTTTTATTATTTGCTGGTGCTCAGCCTGATATAGAAAAATGTGTCTAAAAAAATCAATAACTTTGGAATGAAGTTATATGTGGTGAGACCCTCTGAAGGAGAATCAGCCGCGGCTATGATATACTGTAGTGTAAGGTAGAAGAATATTCTCTGTACAAAATTATAGCTAATGTTGAGAAAAAACAAAACAGAGCACTTTACAGTGTGAACACCTTCAGGTTCACAAAAATTCTGTACTGGACAAAGTAATGGGGAAAATGGAAAAACTGATGGCTACACGTCTGTAAGAACAAATTTGCTTGTAGCTCTATGTGTTCAGGGAATATTTACTCCAAACTTTATATATGTTGCTACAGGATAATTGGTCCTAAGACATGTGACTCAAAGAAACACATTCCTTGCATAAAGTGGGACTACCTCTACCAGGCAGGTCCAGCTGGGTTGAGAAGGAGTGGAGGTGGGAAAGCTGAGAGAGCTAGGGGAATGGTGAGTGGTCTAGCTTGGTGGGAGCACAGAGGAGAGGGAACTGAGGCTGGAAAAGGATTTTAGGAGCATCCACAGAGGGTCTCCAATTCCCAGGCGTAGCGCTGATGCTTAGTTTAATGGCAACAGGGGAACCACTGAAAATTTCGAGCAGGGTGGTGATAACTGTGCCTGAGATTGTAGATGCTCAACAAAGTTGAATATTAAGTGAATGACTGATCAGAACCGTCCTCTGGAAAGTTCTCAATACCTTAAAGGGCAGATATTACATGAGATTTTCCTAGATCCTGTGATCCAACAGAAGTGTGAAGTCTCTCTTCTGCCAAGATCACGTGTTATCACTTCCATCCCCAGCCCATACCTGCTTCCACAGAACCAGCAGTGACAGGCACTTGCTCCTGATTCCTGGAATCTCAGAATTCTGGGAAAGGATGGAAAGCTGCACTAAGATGCATTTGGTCCATATAAATGATGACTCTTTTTTTCCCTAATAAGGGTTTGTTGCTGGCAGCATCACACAGCTGTTTCCTAAATCAAAGATCAATTTGTTAGATTATTTTCTACTGGTGGCATAGGGGTAATTGCTTCTGCAAAACATCTGTTCTATAATTAGAAAACAAAGATTCCTTCACCCCAACTGAGTGTAATTACTTTTGGCTACCAGAGGGAAAATTTTAGGATCATCATCAAAATTCAATGAGGACTGTTTGCAGCAGAACTTTTCTTTTCTATTTTTTAATAAAGCAGCTAGGAGACTATAAAAAAAATCTGTGTTTGTTAGCATTTTATAAGCTGTAATAGAATAAAGCAAAACTCCAAAATCTGTGTGGGGTTGTTAATACAAATGAATCAAGTGAATTAAATTCAGTCAGTTCAAAGGAATTCCATTTTGAAAAGAAGTGAAGGGATATCAGAGATACGGACCTTTCCAGACAAGTCCATAAATAGTTATAACTCAAGAGCATCACTCACCCCCTTGAGTTTAGTTCTGCATTGGCAAAAATGACTATTGTGTGTGCCTCAGGCGTGCTCTCATTTGCTCTTCATGACCGTGTACTGTGGATGTGGGCTTGCTACGATTCCATACATCCTAAGAGGGTGCTACTATGACATTTGATGGTCAACCTGTCTTCTACTTCTCAATGTGTCACTTCCGCCATACTTGCCAGCACACACTCTGCATCCTGAGCTCTCAGTTGTTGCTATAGTTCTCCCCCCATCACACCCAGGGGCTGATCTTACTCTCTTCATTCCATCTCTGGAACTTCCCAGTCTCAACCTGCCCTGATTTTACTGGTTTCCTAAATTCATCCTCATCAAATTTCTCACTTCTACCTTGCAGGTTTCCAGACGCAGAGTGTTCCCTGGAGCTAGTCTAACGTGTTTAAGGACATTTGTTCCTCTCTCTTTCTTTTCCAAACTCCTTGTCCTTTCCAAGCCACTCTTCCTCTGACCAGGAATATTGGTCTTCCTTACAGTCCTGTCCAACGCTCTTTTCTCACTCTGCATACTTTTTCCCAGGTGGCCTCATCCTTTACCTTTTGTTACCATCTTCTTTGCTTTGTTCACTTGCTGTCCATTTACTAGTCTTCTGTGCTCCAGATCCATGGAGCCAACCAACAACTGAATGTTTCCTCTTCAATGCTTTATTAGTTTCCTAGGGCTTCTGGAACAAATTGTTCCAGGCTGGCTGGCTGAAAACAACAGAAATTGCTAGCTAACATAGTGATGTTAGAACTACTTTTATTGGTGAAAATCATAGCTTGTTAATTAGCATGATATTTGTTAGAAATGAGCTGTCTTTGGAGAAAGGAAAGTATTCAGGTTTTGTGTGTTGGCTAAAATGTTTTGGAGACACCCATTACCTTCCACAACCAGGGTATGAAAATCTTGCAAGGTTGTAGCCCGCACTCTTAGAGTGGGCATCTGAGGCTGGTCAGCGGGTAATCTTGTATTTAGCCTCTGACTTTGGAACGTTTCTGGTTGCCTGAGTCTGACTGAGAGTAACTGAATCATACTTATGGAACGTTGTTGTGACTGTCTTGACTAAACCTTTCTAATAAAGGTAGTGTTCATAGCTCCCAAAAGACAGAGAGCTGGGACTTCATTTGGGTCTATAGAACGATTGCATGAACTGTTTTGTGTCTGCTTGCCAATAAATAATTTATTTGTTGATTAAATGTCCATGTAACAGGAAGAATTTGATCTGAGATTTTCTTTCCTTATAACTTGACAGGAAGGTTATAAGGCAATAGCTAAACCTTCCCTACTCTAAACTTCTTTAGCAGCTACCATCATCTACAAAAAGAACTTACGAATTGTGCGTGTCCTTTAGGCCAGTTCACAACATAAGTATGTGTAGAAATAATGGACCGCTACGTTCATCAACTTATGAATTGAAAAATTAGACTTCAAATGGACGAGTACAGAGTCCTTTATCTGGACAATTTAGATCTGTTACTTTAAAGGAGAACTTGTTTTAAGCCTCAGGAAATATCTAGTGGAAAGTGGAAGAGGGGAAATTCAAAGCTTAGCTGATGGCCACATTAAAAGCCAAGAGGACAAGGACCCAGATGCCCACTTTGGGGAGATAACTGTGGTAGATACTGGCAAGATAGAGTCCTCCTGAATCCAGTGGCAATGAAGAAAAGCCTTTGGTTAGGAACAACATGTCCCATTGCAATTATCTTTGCCCATAAGGATTTGTGACTTATTTCCTTCTCTTAAATCAAGACCAGACCAGGCCCAAATGCCAGCAATGACCATAACAGCAGTGACCTACCAATTAGTAGGACAGTGGAATTAAGGACAGATCCATCCGGCCCAAGGAAACTGTAGTTAAAATTCAAATCTTGCCTTGTTATTGTCTTCCCATTCCACATTTCCTTTGGTTTGAGATGTGAGGTCAGCATCTAAGGGACCAAAAGGCAAGCTGCAAACGACACACAAGAGGAGGTTTTGTTTTTGGGTGAACATTGTCTTGACTAACCAGATATTTATCTGGGAATTTTAATCTCAGGATAGTGGTAAGGATGGGAGGTGGGTAGATGAAGGGATATGCCCTCCACTCAGCCTTCTCTACTTCCGTTTTTAAATGTTACTAAACTGATCCCACGTTGACTTGCCTTCACGCTAAGGCAAACTGCTTTGTTTCTTATTCAGTCATCACCACATACCTATGTTATTTAGCTTCTGAATGTATGGTGTTTACAACTTCAGGGGAGAAGTTAAGAAATAAAGACAGACCAGCCAGCCCAGAAGGGAAGGAGATGGGGTGATAAGATTTTGATAAACTGAGACGAACAGCTGGCCAAACCTTCCTGAAGGCTGTGGCTGTTCAATTTCCAGATGCTAAATTCTCCACCTGAAAAAGAAGTCCAGAAGGGCCGGCCTGGTGGCGTAGTGGTTAAGTTCATGCAACCCACTTGGTAGCCCAGGGTTCACAAGTTCAGATCCCGTGCGTGGACTTAGCACCACTCATCAAGTCAGGCTGTGTTGGCATCCCACACAAAATAGAGGAAGATTGGCACAGATGTTAGCTCAGCAACAATCTTCCTCAAGCAAAAAGAGGAAGATTGGCAACAGATGTCAGCTCAGGGCTAATCTTCCTCACACACAAAAAGTCCAGAGAGGTAAGACGTGAGAATGGATCCAGGTTGGAGGCCAACCAGCTGGGTGACAGAATATCCATGATGCACATCTCTGCTCCAGCTTCTGCAGCAGGTGGACAGTTTTACACATGGCATGATGGCTCTGGAAAGCCTGAGCACCTTCCTGTACAGTCATTCCCAGGCCATGTGGGTATTTCTAGAGTCTGAAGGTCCCAGGTTACATTTTAAAAGAATGAATTCCAGACCCAGATAAGATCCCAGAGGAAATTCATTACCAGCAGCTCTCCCATTTTGCATAAGAAAAAACAGAGGCATCAGAGAGGGGAAGTGACTTGCCTAAGGTGACACATCTGTTAGTGTCAAAGCTGGGGCTAGAACTCAGGTTTTTCTATTCCTCTTCCCAAACCTGGCACCACCTCCCTGTCTTTCTGGGTCTGGGGTCACATGCTAGAGGCCCTCTGTCTTCAGAGTAGAACTCGTTGAATATTCTAGTGCACATTTTCTACTCAGGTGCTTCAAAGATCTTTCTTGTAAAGGTGAGGAGGGGTGGCGGGTCCTCAGTAGATACTGATTGTTGATTGTCCTCTGCAGACCAGCTGCGGGATGGGGGTGGGTGTTCTAAAAGGAATGGGGCTGGATTGGGAGAGCCAAAGGACATAGGCTCAAAAGTCTCTTCCTCTCAGTTCTACCAAGTACAAGGGCATCAGGATGAGCAGTCTTCTAGTTGAAGTGCAAATATGGAGGCTAGATTGATCTTTCATTACACGTTAGTATCAATTGCTCGAATCTGGCAGTCAACTCCACACCTAATTATAGGCAGCAGCACTCCTGGAGTAAAAGTTTTTTTTTTGTTGTTGTTGTTGTTTTTAAAGATTGGCACCAGAGCTAACAACTGTGGCCAATCTTTTTTTTTTTTTTTTCTGCTTTATCTCCCCAAATCTCCCCTGGTACATAGTTGTATATCTTAGTTGCAGGTCCTTCTGGTTGTGGCATGTGGGACGCTGCCTCAACGTGGCCTGATGAGCGGTGCCATGTCTGTGCCCAGGATCCCAACCAGCGAAACTCTGGGCCACTACAGCGGAGTGTGCGAACTTAACCACTCGGCCACGGGCCTGGCCCTTGGAGTAGAAGTTTTGATTGAGAGAAGAGAAAATTTGAAGTTGGAAGGCAGGCGTTGGTGGGATTGGGGGGATGTTAGAAGGAAGTCTCCATAATGTAATGAACAACAACAACAGAAGCAATGACAACCACAATATGTTATCATATTGTTTTATCATATCACAGCCCACAACGTCCAACTTATTTTCACGTAGAGGGCTAATAAATGATATGAGCTGACATCTTTGCACCTCTGATCCTTTTGCTTGTGAGCAGCCCTTACACTCTCTCCTTCCCACTCATTCCCCTTTTTCTTGCCTACCTCCTTCTCGGTGCTCTCTGTCAGCCTAGAAGTCATGCCCTCCAGTCTTGCCTGATGTTGGTGTTAGATTCCCCTCCCTTGCATCTTTCTGTGCTACAAGACTCATAGCACCTCATTACTATACTGTAATTATTTACCTGTGTCCCCAACTAGATAGGAAGTTCCATGGGGACTATGGTTTTGTCTATTCTTGTGTCACTACCACTGAGCACGATGCCTGGGAAGGTGTAGGACTCCAATCAGTAATGATAAATGAAGGAATGGGTCATTTCACTCTTCTTGACCAAGAGGAAGAAGAGGGGCAGGACAGAGAAAGGAATGTCAGATGGCACCAAAGGCTTATGCTGTACTTTTTATTTAAGGTTTATTGGTGCTGTCTCGTTTCCTTCTCAGAGTCTAATCTCAACAAATTATATTTCTGCTTAAACTCCCCTCCCCTGCTCCATTATTTTCCCTTCTAAGTTAAAGTGAGTTTCGGGGAGGAGGGTTGGAAGGGTTAACATAGTAAACTGGGTCTTTGTGTTCTACATTCCAGAATAATCCTGCAGGTGCGCACTGCAGCAAAGAGAAGATATGTGAAAGGGGGTGTAGTGGATGCTGTAATGTGCCATTAAAGGCCTCCCTTCAGGATCAGGTGCTCATTCCTACCGATGTCCTGAGTGTTGCCTATGGCTCATAGTTGAGCCCCTCCCCTCTGCTGAAGAGAGCTTCCCTGCTCAAGATCACATCCCCTCCTGAGGCAGCCCACATCCAGTGACTATTTGATGCAGGAGTACGAAGACTCAGCCCTCTTGAAGGGCCATCTCTGCTTCAGACTCCCCATGGGGTGCATGGGATGGGCTGAGGCCGCTGTTGCAACTGCATCACAGCTTGACCCCTCCCTCTTCCCTGTTGCCCTTCCCTCACTTCTTTACCAGTGTTGCAGAAGCACTCACCAGTGAGACTTCTGCATACAAATCTCCATCTCAGAGTTTACTAGGGAACTCATCCTAAGACAGGTAGTTAATATTCCGTGTGTCCAAGTGCCCATCTATACATGTAACTTGATGAAAATTATTCATATGAAATATATTTGAGAACTTTAATGCAACTCATGGTATCTCCAGGTGAACGTACCTGGGGGTCAGAATGGGTTTACATTAATGAGTAATAAATGATCTTGACTTTGGATGTGCCCTTCATTGTTGAAGGATGAATAGCTCCCTTCTATATCCCCACGCCTTATTCCTAGGCGTCCTCATACGTGCTCACAAAAAACCTACGTGTTTCACTTGGCGTCGCTTATGTTCTTTTTCTTATGCCCTAGGCTCCTTTCATTTTATTTTTTGCCCTGGGCTATGCAGGGGGACTGCCATGGCACTGCAGGGGGAGGGGCCCATGATTGAAGATGCTGGCGCTCCACCAAGGGCTCTGTCTTTGATTGGGTCCAGAGTTGCCAGTGTGTCTTCCTGCTTCCAATATAGCTTGGGTTCTAGGGGCTCGGACTGTCAGTGCAGGAGCCTTGGGCACTGCTAATGTGCTAGTGCCTTTGAGGTGTCAAAATTCTCATGTTCTCTACCAGACTGGGGATCCCGCCTCTTCTCATTTTGCGTTACCATGCCTTGGTTCCAGGCTAGTGCTGTCCTGGCTCCCATGGTCTCCTAGTACTTGCATCATTTTATTTGTAGTGCCTTTCTTCCTGGGACTCAGGACTAAGTCCATGACGGGTGGGTCTAAGTGACAGATCCTCACGCTATGCCAAAAATGGCCTCTTGTTTCCCAGTGTTTGAGGTGTTTTTATTTGGCCAACCTAGGGTGATTAAATAAGTGTGCCCAACAGGCCTCTAGTGACGCCTACTCATACCTGAATCCTCAGGCAGTTGGCTTAAGTTCAAGTCGAGCCTTGTTACATTGAGAACAATGGCAGTTTGCCTCTCTGAAACTTCTAGAAGAGTTTTCTGGCTCCTTCGTATGTAGGAGAGGTCAGAATGATCCAGATTCTTCAATATGTGCAAAAGCTCAGGAAACTACATAATTTTTTTTTATTGTGATAAAATACACATAAAGTAAAATTTACCATATTAACAATTTTTAAGTTACAGTTCGGTAATATTAAATACATTTACATTTTTGTGTAACTATCACCACCATCCATTTCCAGAACTCTCTTCATTTTGCAAAATTGAAACTCCATACTCATTAAACAATAATTCCTCCCTCACCCTCCCCCCAGTCCCTGGCAACTGCCATTTAGTTTCTGCCTCTGAATTTGACTCTTCTAGGTGCCTCATATAAGTGGAATCGTACAGCATTTGTCTTTTTGTGACTGGCTTATTCCACTTAGCATTAGTTCCTCAAGGTTCAACCATGTGATAGCATATGTCAGAATTTCCTTCCTTCTTAAGGCTGAATGATATTTGATAGTAACTATATACTACATTTTGCTTATCCAGTTATCCTCTAGTAGGATGCTTCTGCATTTTAGCTATGGTGCAAAATGCTGCTATGAACATGGGTGTACAAATCTCTCTTTAAGACCCTGCTTTCAATTCTTTTGGGTCTACACCCAGAAGTGGGATTGCTGGATCCTATGGTAATTCTATTTTTAATTTTTTGAGAAACCGCCATACTGTTTTCCACAGTGGTTGTACCATTTTACATTCCCACCAGAAATGCACAAATATTCCATTTTCTCCACATTCTTGCCAACATTTATTATTTTCTGTTTAAAGATTTTTTTTTAGTAGCCATTCTAATGGGTGTGAGGTGGAGAGCAACTACATTTTAAAGCAACTTTGTTCTCAGATGGATGACCTTATGATGATATTTTTACCCATGGGGATATGAATAAGGAAATTTCTCCAATCTGCCTGTTAGTGTTTGACTATGATGCTGTCATTATGTGAAGAATGGACAGGCAGA